ACGGGGGGACCCAGGCCTCTGGCCCCTCCCAGGGGCCCAGGCTGAGCGTGTCTCAGCCAGGCCGGGACAGTCAAGAGGGTCCACACCCGGGCGGCGGCCCCAGGACCGCGCGGAAACTACTCAAGTCAAGGGCAGCTGGTGGGCGCCGGGCTGGTCCCGGGCAGGCCCTGGCGGCCCCCCAGCGAGTCTGACTGTTCTCCGGGCAGGAGGTGCAGGGAGGCTGGGAGGGATGGGTGCGGGTGGCGGCTGCACGCACAGCTGAGGACCTAAGGCCTGGGCGGAGGGTGAGACAGGCGAGAAGCAAGCGCGGGCGGCACCGCCTAAGGCCCAGGGGAAGGCTAGAGGAGAAGAGGAAGCGCTGGCCGGCCGCTGGCCCGAGCTCCCCCGCAAGGCCCTGCAGGGCGGCCGCAGCCCGGGGCCTGGGCCCGAGCACCGTCGCCAACGGGCTTCTCGACCTCACGGCGCGTTCTGGACTCGACGTCGCTGCCGGTGTGCAGGCCCGCGATACGTCGCACGAAGGTCCCTGAATCTAACTGTCCAGGACCCGTGGGAAGACCCGGGCGCACAGGCCTCCTGGCTCCGGGCCCCGCCCGCTCCCAGCCAACGGCCGACGCCGTCAGCGGGCGGCACGGGGAGGGCACGGGGACGCCTATCTCGCTGGACGTGGGGTTTCAGCAGGGCTGGCTGGGGGCCTCGCAAGGGGACCACGGGCTCACCACCCCGGAGCGCTACGGCACCCAGGCGCGGCCTTCTGTAGAGCAGCGAGGGGTTCGTGAGCACAGCAGAGCCAGGGAACCCTAACTCCTGTCAACTGTCACACTGACCTAACGGGACCATCTGGTCGCCCCATTTCTCGAGGGCTCCCCTTCCGGGCCTCGCCGCCACGGCCCCCCACGCAGCCCCCGCAGCTCTGCGCGGGGAGAGCCGCACGGGTCACCTGCGGCGCCGCCTACCTGAAGGACTGCACCTGCTGGGGGATGTTCCGGCTCTGCTCCCGGAGCCGACACGCGTCCTTGGACACTCGCCTCATGAGCTTCTCGGCGCTCAGGCCTTGCTTCTGCTCCTCCCTTGACTGCTCAGCCTGGACAGGGGTGCAAACAGACAGACGTGACCCCGGGAGTCCTGCAGTCGGCAGGGCGCCAGGGCAGCGGCGCAGGTGGCCGGCGGGGGGCGGGGCGGGGGGCCCCGGGCCAGCTCACGCTGCCCGGCGTTCTCCACATTGCCGGGGCCGCTTTCCAAGGCCGCACCGGGCCGTCTTGGTCACCTGGAACCCGAGAGCCCGCGAAGAGGAAACTGACAACGATTCACCGCTGAACCAAGGAGCAGGGACTGCTGTGGACGCTGCGGTCCCGTTTCCCTCAGCCTCGTGCTCGTCACTTTCTGTCATCGGCCGTTTCGTGTTTCAAATTCGTTTTTTTCATGCTCTACCCGTTTGCCGAGGCCACACAGGTCCAGTCCCGCAAGAGCTGTGGGGTCACGCCTGCAGGCGGAGGCCGCCCCCCCACCCCGGCCCGTGACCTGCAGCCTCAACCCGGGGCTTCTTTCGGTCTGCTCTGTTTTCGGGTTCCCCGTGACCGGCCCGTCGGCGTCGGCGTCCTGGGGCTTGTTTCGCTGGGCGCCACCCCCTCCGGTCCCATCCCTGCGCTCCTGTGGCAGCGGCACTGGCCTCCATCGTGCAAATGACCCATTTTCCTCATCGACTCGTCCACCGTCGGGCACTTCGCTGGTCTCCGTACCTTGGCTACTCACACGGTGCCGTGTGAACCACCCCAGAGCCCCTCGGGACGCGCGTCTGCGCCATCTGGGCCGACAGCGAGGAGGGGAACGGCTGGCTTGTGAGGAGCGGGGCCGGCACGGGGCGAGCGCGTCAGTGAGGCTTCCAGGCCAGCGGCCCGGGTCGGATCGCGGCTGCGGTGCTGCAGTGGGTGCAGGAAGGGGTCTGCTGGGTTTACAGGGACTCTGGGCCCAAGGTTGCCCCGTCTCTGAAGCTGGAAACAGACACGGGTTCCCGGTGGACAAAATGAGCAGGTGGCCTCGGGCCTCAGCCTCGTCGGCCCTGAAGAACTTGCCGTGGGGTCTGGACCCTTCCCGCTTCCACCTGTCTGCACTAAGGGCTCCTTTGATGTAGAAGGAAAACAAGAGTCACCCCAAAGCCCCACAGACTTTTAATCTGCGGAAATCAGCACCTGCAGAAACCCGAGGACGCCGTAAAGAAAGCTGATTAAAGGAAACACCTGCAGCAACGGTGGCGTTGTGAGGCCGCCAGCTGGGAACGAGGGCCGAGGCCCGTCTCCTCCCTCAGTGTGGTCACACGCACTGCCTGCGTCTGCCCACCCCAAGATCACTGAGTTTGTGGGGGGCAGGGCAGGCGCCCCCACTCTGGCTGACGCTACACGCACCGGCCACGCTCCCAGGGACCTGCTGAGAGGCCTCCGGCAGCTCCCCGGTCCTCAGGCCTCGGTGGCTCTCGACACCTCTGCTGCGGTCAAGTTCAAGTCCAGCTGTCTGGAGGGCACAGATCAGGGGCCAGAGATACAGAAACCCAAGGATGGGAAGGGCAGGCCCACGTCCTTAGCCGAGTCTCCAGTCTGTATTTCTGACAGGTCGCTCTTCATTCCGTGTGGCGTGGACTTCCGGACATGACCGGGATCCAGTGTCCACCTTGCCACGGGCCCTCCTTTCCCAGCTTCACTGACCGGCGCCCCCTCCTCTGTGCCCGCTGACCCACGGCCTCCGTCCAGCGCACACAGCCACGTGGCGGCTGGCCGGGCTCCCTGCTCACCGCCGGGTCTCCCCTCCTCCGCCAGCCACTGCCGACGCGCCCGGGCACTTTGGCAGCTTAACAGATCCGGATTCCCGCAGGGCAAGCGCGGGGCTTTCTCCGCAGAGAATCGTGGCCATTCTCTGTCCTCTGGCCTCCACCGCTCACGTCAACCTCCACGAAGAGCCACGTGGCCCTGCTGGGAGTGACACAGCGCAGCGCATTCCAGGGACGGTCGGGAGCGCACGGTACTGACTCTTCCCCGTGGGGCTGGCCACCTGTTCTTGCCGCGTGTTGCTAGAGCCACAGGCCCGTGTACATCTGTTGTTGGTGCTCCTGTGCCAAGTGGCAGACCTGGGTGGCGGTGAGGGGCTCCGGGCCCCCACCCCCGGCCCAGGGGAAGTTAGTGTGTTCTCCCACGAATTCAGGAGCTTTGCTGTTTCTCCCATGGGGCTTTCCCTACACTGTACTACATGGTTTTTGTTAAATGTGTTCCTTGCTACTTGATGATCACTCCCGCTACGGTGAGTCACATCTCAAATTCTCCGGCTGCTTCTGGCAGAGCGACGCAGCAGACTTTTCTGCGTCGTTCTGCTTAGCATCTCGCTCAGCGCCTATCTGTAACGCGCACAGGGTAGCGCGCACAGGTGGTTTCAGGCGATGACGTGTCACCTGCAAGCGACGACACTTCACCTCCTCCTTTCCAGTCTCTCTGCGGCTGCTTTTCTGGTGCCCTGCAGCCCCGGCCACAGCTCCCGAGACACCCTGGGCAGAAGGGAACGGTCCCTCTTGTCTGACTCAGAAGGGAGCGGGTGCAACCTTCTCCCGGGTGGGCACACCCGTGGCCTGGAGCTCTACAGGATAACCAAGCCCCACCGCCTCCTCACCTCCTGCGAGTTTTAAACAAGAATAGGGACTGACTTTCTCAATCCTGCCCCTGCACATTTTGAGTTGAGCTAGATTTCCCCCCCGAAGTCTGGTAAAGTGCTTAACTGGATGGTCAAGTATATCACCTTTTGCTACATTGCTGAATCCTACTTACTGATATTTTGGCCTGGGCTCTGACATCTATGTGCGTAACGAAGCTGACCTGTGATTTTCCTGATAATATCTTCATCCGGTTTTACGGCTAGGGATGTGCGTTGTAACAACGGATTGTGGACGGCTCTTTTTAATCACTGCTTTCTTCAACAACAGGTGGAGCGCTTTGAATCCTCCTTCCCCTTCTTTCATCAGTTCTGATATTCTTCATTTTCCGAGCTGTTTGTCCAAATTGTGTGCGTGTTTTTGACGGTACCTATCTTTTAAATGTCTAATTTATCTGCAGTTCCGTATCTCCTTACTTTTTTTATTTTGGGTCTTCTTTGTGGATCTTGCCCAAGTTTCCTTTATCTTTTATAGGTTTTTCTGAAGTACCGAGTTTCTGCATGATGGAGCTTCTCCACGCAGCAGAGACGAGACAGTCCAGCCATTTACAGGCGGCTCTTAGCAATCGCGAGCAAGCAAGGAAAAGCCCCAGTGTTTGAATAAATCGTGGCTCCTGGAGTCTTGTTTCATGGCAAACTATAAAGCAACAAGCAGCAAGGATCCCTGACCGCCAAAGTCCTGTGACTCCATCACTGCTCAGCGCCCGGCGTGAGAGACCCGGTCAGGGTAGAGAGCCGGGCTGCTCCACACCGAGAACTCAGCTGGGCTCGCACGTGCCGCTGCGCTAAGCCCAGAGGCTCAGCAGCGACAAGCCGGGCGAGGCCAGGAGGCGGCGGCCAGTGGCCCGCGGCCCCGCTGTGACCCCGCTCCTTTCCTGCCGGGGTCCTCCGCCTGCTGGGCCTCTTCACACCTCCCCACTGCTCCCAGGACCGTGCAGCAGCACCTCGTCCAGGAAACCAGCCCGGTCTGGTCGGGCGGGGCAGCCCCGGCCCTCACTGCCGCGCTCTGGCGGTGCTGTCAACGGTCAGCTCCCCGCGCACGGCCGCGCCGAGGCCGGGTGTGTGCGCCCAGCTGCGGGCAGCCACCGCCCGCGTACACTTCCCAGGAGAGCCGCCAGCCGCCCGGCGAGGACTAGAGGTGCGAGGCGACGCGGCAGCTGTTACGCAGGCCGGCCAGCGTCAAACTCGACAGGAGGGAAAACCACACGGGGCGAGGGAGACGTGCAGGCTCCGGGCCAGACGTCCTGCGTGCAGGCGGCGCTCAGCCCGTGTCTGGTCTCCACCCAAATGAGCTGAGAGGAAATAATGTCGTGGCCTTGGTACAACGTCAGCTACGTGGGACGTCAGCGTCCGGGCCGCTCCTGGGCTCGGACACGCACACCTACGCCAAACCCAGCCGGCTCCGTAGACGTGCAGGCCCTTGAGAATCTGGCCACGTTCAGGCAGCAGGACTGAGAGTCCCCCAAAAGGCCGACTTCCCACCAGTGCCTTTACCCCGGCTGGTGAGGCCAGTCGTCCGCTGAAAGGCCAGGCAGCCCCGACGGGACGGCGTCACTCTTAAAGGACGGAGAGGACGGAAGTCCAGGCGCTTGCAAGTCAGCGCCGCTCTGACAGCTGACGCCCTGGCTGAAACAGAAAAGTTCCTTGTGCAGCCTTTAAGCACAAGTTGTCAGTTCTGCTAACAGCTGAGGGGGGCTGCTGGCCAGGCCGGCGGGGACAGCCCACGCCACCAGGCCCCTGGCGGTGGGCTGCTCGTGGCCATGTCCTGGGCCACACACAGGCCAGCAGCAACGAAAAGAAAAGCGTTCAAGATTCCAGAGTGAGGATCGGGAGGGGGGTACGGGGGGGCGGCGGGCTGAGCACCAGGGCCCTGAGGTACCTGCTTCTCCGCCTGCCTGAGCAGCTTCTGGAAGCGCTCGTCCTCCAGCACGCCCGGCGGCAGGTCGGTCTCCCCCTGAGCCTTCAGCTCCTCCAGCTTCTGCCGCAAGCCCCGCAGGGCCTGCAGCTCGTCGTTGAGGCGGCTCTGCCGTGTGAGGGAGGCCTGGAGGTCCAGTTCCAGGTCCAGCGACGTGCGCACCGGGCACTCCTGCGAGGCTCTCCTGAGCGTGGGCTGGCACACCTGCAGAGGGGCGGGCGGGCCTCAGCCGGCGTGGGGGGCAGCTCCGGCCTGCAGCGCGGCGC